GGACATGTTAGAGGTGAGGCAGCTGCAGTTTCAATAACCATGACAAGGGTTTTGTAACTCAGTTACATCTGCTAGTCCAAAGATCCCTGCTGTAGGTAGAAGACTGAAATATGGCTTTGTAAACAGTACTACATAAAATTGAAACTGTCTTTCAAGGAGAGTACATTCTACCAAGGGTAGCATTTTCTTTCTGGATGTCAAAGTGAATTTTTTTTCTGCCAAAAGTCATAGTTATTGAATTTCTCTGTGGCTATTGAGGAAAGACTGAACAAACATTCATTCTAGTTAATGTTTAATACCTAAGCGTTTCTGTTCATATTAAAGATATAGAATATGTGTTCTAAGTGCTATGGTGTTTGTTATGTAATATCAAGCCATTTTTACATCAAATGTACAAAAGTAGATTGCAAAAATATTTCTTAAGTCTCTAAGGAGCACTCAGCATTTCACTTCACAGGTCAGTTATCTGCAGTTGGACGAGAAATTAATATTTTGCATTCTTAAAATAGGTGAGTGGATGTGTTTTTTTTTTTTTTTTGTACTGTGGTATGCAGCTGGCAATGGTAAAACCTGTACAGCTTGGGAAGCCCACAGAAGTAGACTGGCTCCAGATTGGCAAATGAGTGAGGCAAGGTTATAAACTCTCGTCTTATTTATTCAACCTGTGTGGAGAATGCTGTATATATCGAGGGCAGCTGGATTGGAAGAACTTGAGTGTGATTTTAAAACTGAAGGAAGAAACATCAACAATCTGCATTGTGCTGACAACACGACCCTGACAGCTGAAAATGCAGAGGATTTGCAAGCTTTGGTAAGAAGCAGAGTGAAAAGTTAATCCAAGATTAAGTATAAAGACCAAACAAATGACAAGTAATATAAGGCAATCGCTAATATAAGGTAAGATCTGCCCCTCCCTCCTGTCCTGAAGTCTGAAGATCTGGTTCTGCTGGTTGCCCTGAAGACCAGGTGGGGGAATTCCAGGCTGGAGGTGGCTGCTGGATTGATGACAGAATCTATCTCACCCCTTGCTCCTGGCTCTCTGCTCTCCACCCATTCATCTTTTTGTTATCGATGTATTCTCGTGTTCTTTTCTACTGTTTATTTTATTCTATTATTTTACATCTGTTTACACTTTTTTTTCATTTCTTTTTATTGTTGTAAGCTGCCTACAGTAGCCCCATGGTGAGATAGGTGGCAAATAAATTTAACAAAATACGATAGCAATCAGCCTTAGACTTGAAAATGAAGACACTGAAGTGATAAATAGCATCTGCATTTTAGGATCAACTATTAACAGCAAAGAAAACTGTACTTAAGAAATATGATGCAGACTAGCACCTAGTAGAAACAAGCCTTGGGAAAAGTATTCAGATGCCTGGTTGCATTTATACTTAGAACAATCAGAACATAGAACATAGAAGAACAGAATTGGAAGGAACTGTGCAGGTCATCTACCATGCAGGCAATAGTTTTCCTTGTAACGCTCTACAGAAACAAAAAGAAGGACTTTGAAGAAACAAGGAGCATATTGAACACATTCAAATTTAGGAGTTTGAATGACTTGTCTTAGTTTATTATGGATATCCAAGAGAACAAACAAATGAATCATAAAAACAAACCTCAAGTGAGTTTTCTCACTTGAAGCACAATGACAAGGATCAAATTATCATATTTTGGACACATTAAGCAAATCCATACTTTGGAAAAGTCTGTAATGCTGAGGAAAGTGGAAAGAACGAGAAGAAAAAAGATGATTTCCAAGGTGGATGGACTCAATGGATACACTATATAGGAGACCTGAAGGACCAAGTTCAGGATAGATTCTCCTGGAGAAAATCTATTTATGTGGTTGCTGAATCAACACTATAATCAGCTGGCAACGAGTACAATATTTTTTCAGCAAGACCAGCACTGTTCTAATAAAAATATTTTCTTAAAATTGTATCAAATATTCTCCCATAATTTGGCCTCTAAAAATTGCATTAATATCAATAAATTCAGCAAATAAAGTATTTTGCAGGCAAGGTAGTTTACATTTAATTTTATAAACTAATAATATGCTTCAAAGTTGGGGAAAGGAATCACAGTTCAAATGTCAAGGGTCTCTGCCATATTTTATAGTCATGGGCTATATTCATCATGCTAATATTTTAAAACAGTAGCTATGATTTCTCTAAAAGTAGGAAGAATAATCAAACAATAAATTTAAGCGTTTGAATAACTTCCTTCTTTTTCCCACAATTTGAAAAACTGATGAGTGAAGAAAAACTTAACTGCAAAAGGCAGTAAAACATATTTTTTCTACAACTGTTAAGATACAAATGAATCTGTTATGTCACATTTCTCCAGAAGTTTACAGAATATAGAATATAGTTTAGCCACAGAATTCTGTTTCCAAAGAATATGCTTAATAATAAATGTAAGATTAGTGATGCTTTATTTTGTATATTATATTGCTTGTCCTTCGTAATTTGAATACTTTTCTCATTTATCTAAAAAAAAGATATATGTAAAGTTGTTGAATAGAAAAGTGCACTGATTTAAGAGAAGCAAATTGTAATTATGAAAATTAGAATTAACTGGACAAAATAACAAAATAATGCAAATTGTGATCAGACCTCAGAATTCAACATTTTGGGAACTAAATGGCTTTAAATCAAGACATTAGTGTTTGTTATAATGTTAAGTTTATATTTAAGGTAAGGATAGTTTACAGATGATACCTGTTACATGCTTTCTAGGTTTTTCTCAAGGTCACTTCCTTAACAATATCATGTTTATCATACTACTCTGTCTGGGAATATTGAAAGGCATGCTTATAATTGTACAATTAATATTATATAATCATTACTAATATGGAAAAGATGAAGCCGAGACCATTGATATTAATCATGGCATAGAGGTCTATGTTAAAGCAATAAACCCATAACACTAGCCTACCTCTAAGATTACATAGCTTCCCTATGTCTCACGGTCCTCATTTATTGGAGCAAACACTACAAAAACTGTATCTCAGTCAGGCCTCATTCCACCTCCCACAGAAGTCTTTTGATATAGATTTACTCCAACAGGTGACCATGTTCCATTCATGGACTCTGATCAAAACTAAGAAAACCCCATTGTTTTCATTGGCATTTTAATTACAATTAATACATAAAGCAAAATGTACAAGGTTATGGATACTTTAGAATATTGAAATTAGACTTGGAAAAATATTAACGTATCTACAGTCAGTAATCTAAAAAAAAATTAGGTGTATATAACTCTAGTTCAAAATGAGTGTCACAGACTGAATTAGGGTTGAGCAACTAATATGTTTAAATTGCGGAATCATCTGAGTATGTAAAAAAGAGGAAGACATTGACACTGTTCAAACTATAATTCTGGGAACTTCATTGGAAGTAGCCTGAGTCAGAAAATACTCATATTCTATCCAAAGTACCATATAAATTAGTATGCATGTGAAAGAAGCATCTAAGCTATTTTTATGAGTGAATATGTGTCTTGTGTGTATGTATATACATAGATGTCAATCTATGTAGGATATGCTTGAAACATTAATCCATCACTGTCTGGTGTGGTGGCAGCAGTGTCTCAGATAGAAAGTCCATACAGAGATTGGTAAGGGCAGCTGAGAAGATCATAGGAAGCTCGTTTCCTGGTATTCAGGATGCTGCTTATAAGCATTATGTGCTTAGAGTTCAAAGCATTATTAGAGATCCCACATACCCACTTTATGGTCTGTTTCTGTTGCTCCCCTCTAGGAGGAGGTTTCAAAGTATTTTTAGCAAGACTATCCGATTCTGTAATAGCTTTGTTCCCTATGCCATCTGTCTGGTAAACTCGCAAGATTTGTTTTTCTTGCCATGCACAGCTATTCATAATCTGAAGTAGACTGTGTTGTTTCTCTGTGTCATATAATATATGTGGGTATGTGCATAATTCTGCATTATTTATTTATTTATGTCATATTTATTTAGTGTATATTGGAGGTGGTGGTCCTTTGAGAACTAAATGCAATGAAATTTCATTTTAATGTATGCCGATTAGTGTACATTCAAAGTGACAATAAAGTTATTATTCTATTCTATTTATTAAATATAGACTAATCAATTAAAGTCTTCATGTGGAAACAAATATCCCTACACAAGCTGCAAATTCTCCCTCTTAGAAACTTCACCCTCTCACTCAAGGATATAGTCAACAGCTACCTTAAATAATTGGTGATTCTTTGTTATCTAATGAAGTGCATTAAGGCCAGCAGTGACCATCATACAGTGTATTTCAGATGACCATCTTCCCCTTCTTCACCAATAGTGCTTGTGAAAAAGCAAAATCTACCTGTCCCTCAAAATATGGTCCTAACTGGAAAGCAACAAAAATGTTTCAAAGGTCTGAAACAGTAAAGAAAATCACTTTGTACAACAGATCAGGAGATAATGCAGAGACAACCTACAGCCAGAGACCATTTCATTCTTTTTGTGCTTGAGGAAAACAATCCAAAGAACATCAACTAGTCAGACCTCATCAACAAATGGATGTTACCCTTTAACAATAGGCTGGATTTATCTCCCATTGTATTGGTTGAGGCAGACTGGAGTCAGAGGGCAGAAGTGGAAATAATGGAAAAACAAAGGGCAGTAATGGAACTGCAGAACATATGGGTGGCCATATTCTTTATTTTATTTTGAAAGAAGGGAAAGCTCAATTGGAGCTAGCAACTAGTGAGACTTTGAATGAAACTCAATCAGAATAGAGCTGGAAGGCACCTTGAAGGTCTTCTCAAGCAGGAGACCTTATATACCATCTCAAACAGGTGGCTGTCCAGTCTCTTCTTAAAAACCTTCAGTGATGAAGCACCCACAATTTCTGAAGGCAAAAACTGTTCCTCTGGTTAATTGTTCTCCCTGTTAGGAAGTTTTCCCTTAATTCCAGGTTGCTTCTCTCCTTGCATTGGTTTCCCTCAGTTGCCTTCTGGTGCTTTGGAAAATAAGTCGTCCCCCTCTTCTTTGTGGCAGCCCCTCAAATACTGGAATACCGCTATGATGTCAACCTTCCTACCTGGGTGGCATGAGGCGTACAGTATTCCTGCTCACGAGGTGAAGCATATATATATGGCACCTGACAGGGAAAGCTCCGCCTTCGCCCTCCAACCAAGCGCGGCCACTGGAGCCCTCAGGAAACCCGCACGGGCCGCTGAACCCGAGGAGGCGGGTTCTCCCTCCCGCCTTCGTCTCTTCGCTCGGGGCTGGCGCTCGAGCCAGGGCAGAAGTAGTTCGGTGCCTGGGCTTGGGGGAATTTCTTTCCGCTCAGCCTCGGCGATTCTACAGACATGGCAATCCCGCGGAGCTGCTGGCTGGTGCTTGTTCTCGCCAGTGTGGTGCCTGACGTGCAGGTAAGGACGAACGGAGGTGTGTATGTGTGTGTGTGTGTGTGGGGGTGTCTTCCTCGCACCTCCTCGATCGAGCTCCCACTAGGTTGATTGTATTTTGGCGGCCGTCCGTTTCGAGAGCTTCGTACAAGCGGCTCACCAAACGCATAGAAGACCAGTCCACTTTCCTGAGGTCTTCATTCGAAATAGCGCGCGTTTGGATTGCGAGCGTGGATCGGTTTTTCTTTACATTGATTAAGATTGATTATGTGCCGTCCAGTCGTTTTAAACTTCCAGCGATCATAAAGATTTTCTCTCTCTCAGGGACACCCACCTCCGTCTCTGCCACGTTGAGGTAATATAGCAGACTGGGTGGGGGTGGGTTACATTGGCACCGAAGGTATTGTTGTGGGAAACCTGGCAAGGATGGCCTATATCTGTATATGGTGCAAATAACAGCGGGCTTAATAGATGGACAGACAGGCAGGCAGACAGACAGATCTGTATTGTCATTGTTTACTGTGGGCACAATGGCACACATTAAAAATGAAATTTAGTTGCTTGCTCTCAAAGTGTACACATACATAACACACATTTAAACATACTATAAACCAGTGGACCAGTACTGGGCTGCAGCATGCCAGCAACTGGTCCACGGGATGCAGGCAGCACACAAAACCACATGCCCTCTGGTCCGCGGAAAAATCTCTCTCCATGGAACCGGCCCCTGGTGCCCAAAATTTTGGGGACCTCTGCTATATACTATATTCAACCATCTTGAATACATAATGGAAGGAGGTTAATACTGTATGAAACAAAACTATGACTGAATCTGGATGTTCTGCTTCAGATACCACGGAGCGTCCACCCAGAAGGTAACAAAAAAAAACAGGTTGTGAAGAGGATACGTAGTGTCCCATGCTCCCACTGAACTCCTGTCTTGCTTTTGCATAGATCCTCATAGGTAAAGTAGAGGTGGGATAATTCATTGCATTTAAGTCCTACTGTCATTAATGGGACTTAAAGCAATAATTGTTAGCTTTTCCCATTTATTTCAACTGGTCTCAACTAACTACATCTGGGCAATCAGTTCCGCATTGTATGATATTACTGCTGGTATCCTAAACAAACATTCTGTGAAATAAACTCTACTGGATAGTTGCACACACTGTGCTAAACCATAATTTTGGCTTGTTCATTTCAGCCTCATGTGTTGTGCAAACCTTGCTATAATGGTTTGCCATCCATCATTTATGGTTAAGCATGTTGTGTACATGAAAGCAATTGATTATGGATTATTTAAGAAACTGTAGAGTTTGGACAAAACTCAGCAGCACTTTATAGTACAGCTGCTGATAAAAACAGGATCGCCAACATGATCGCCAATGTCCGATAATGGATATGGCACAAGAAGAAGAAGAAGCTCAGCAAAGTATGAGAACCAGGTCACTAAGTTTAATGGAATTAATTTGAATGCTCAAATTGGCCTTTCTTCCAGTTATTGTAAAGATAGAGAAGTGGATTAGAAGTGGGGAGAGGGGGAGGAGGAGAAATAATTTCTTCTGGCTGGACTGCCTCCTTCTTCAGATAGACCCTATGTGCTGTAACCCACATGGAGACACAAATAGTATAAACCAATTAAGGGGAAAAAAACCAAGGATTTGAACTGAAATGAACCAAATAAGCACAGATTTATTCCAGCAAATCAAAAGCCCTCTTCAGCAGAAACATATATTCTGCAAAGAGTAGCATAATAAGCTTCGGAGAATTTTAAAAAAAGGAATTAGTCTTTTTAAGGTTTCCAATTTCCTTCAACTCTCATGTTAAAACCTCATGCTAATGTTTTTACTTCAGTAAATTTAGAAGTTAGAAGAAAAACAAGCCATTCCTAGCCATCTTTCTCAGGATATGTGCACCCAATAAAGCTTTATAGTAGAAGATTACATATGCAGAATATAATTTGCATATGCTGAAAAATAGTGTATTAGAATGCATACAAAGCACAGCTATCCACTTACTGTACTCATGTTTGTGTTTTCAAACCTTCATTGGGAACAGACTGTATAGTTCACCCAGCAGTGGTTTTCACTACTATCAGTCTTTAGGAACAGATTTCCAGCTGGAAAAGTCTCTGGTGATGTGGCTTTCACCACTTCCCTTGGGAAGCTACCCTGTAAACTAAACTCTGTATTTAAACATTAAGCTTTTATATATATATATATATATATATATATATATATATATATATATATATATATATATATATATGGGTGAGTCTCTTGTTTCATTCCCATTGAGGTTTGACTGTATTAGTCTCAGCTACATCGCAATCATTTTTTTAAAGTGATTTTTATTATTTTAAAATGTTTGAGAAGTAGTTTGAGCAGCCCTGGATTAAGTGTGATAATCTGCAAGAAATTCAGAAGAAATCAATGTTATTCTTCTGTAAAGGTCAAGTATATACAATATTAAACACTTTTGTGCTTCTTAAGGGTAGTATAAGTCAACTCACAACAGTATATAGTAGTACTAGTTTAGAATGTGCTGTGAATCAGAAAGTAATTGTGTTGAACTTTACCTCTCCTATTAATATAGCTGATAACTATACATCACATGCAGCCACCTATCTGTAATATATCTCAGCAGTATTTCTTATCCTCTCAAGAGTCAATACTGGACCAATATACTCTATATTCTTCTGGAAAAACATATAATGTGTATGAAGTGCTATGAAGACTCAAGGAATGGCACTGTTGGCATTTTTCTTGGAGATATTTGCTTACCAACCAAGCTAACACTGACAGTGCTTTAATGATGTTTTAGTAATGTTAGGTAAAAATAAGTCTACAAGAAGAAAACCAAATTCAATGAATATCAAGATCGTAACATTTCACGTTGGGACTCTTAAAATTCACTACAATTACTATTGTGTAATTACACTGTTTCATATATATATATATATATATATATATATATATATATATATATGTATATGTTTTCTGAGGTTTTCGCGGGTATTTGTATGTAGGTCTTTGGTTCTCGAACGAGAAGCCAAAAAATAGCAAGGCAGCCCAAAATCTTAAACCCCTCTGCAACTCAGACTAACCTGAGCACAACCAAACAGAACACTCCCCAGCCAATCAGAGCACAGCCAAGCCCCTAACCATTCAGAACACACCTCCACCCAATCAGAACACAGCCAAGCTCCCACCCAATCAGTTCATACCCCCACTGGCAGTTAAAAGGAAGAAACAGCTAAGACCACACATTGCTGCTCAAAGCACGAAGCTGAAAGCACCAGCCTGAAGATGACGAATGAGACTTCGTCGAAACGTTGCCAAGACACTTCCAATTTTACGCGGGAGAAAACCCGAACAACCAAAGACCTACATATATATATATATATATATATATATATATATATATATGTATGTATGTATGTATGTATGTATGTATATGTATATGTATATGTATATGTATATGTAGGTCTTTGGTTGTTCGGGTTTTCTCCCGCGTAAAATTTTCCAATTTTACGCGGGAGAAAACCCGAACAACCAAAGACCTACATACAAATACCCGCAAAAACCTCAGAAAACACATATATATATATTCAAAAGACAAAGTATGATTTGGAGCACCTGTGAATGTGTTGAGAACATCGTAAACCCGAAACATTTTTTTCTCGGAATTGTGTGTCACCAGCAGAGGGCATGTTCATGGGTCCAGGAAGAGTCACAGCCACTTTATATACATGTGTGACCAGGTACATTCTGAGTTACATTTTGCCTTTTGAATCTGGATCTTTGCACACTCTATTATTTTTACACTTTTGGCTCCCCCCTTATTTCCAAAACCATCATCTCAAATGAGTCCGGTTTATCTTATTTTATCCATATATGAACAGAAAGCCATAATTACATTATTTTTATTCTGTATACATTGGTACATATTATACTATAATCGTCTGTTTTCCATTTTACCTTATCATTGATATATTTAGTCTTGCCATATGCATAAAATACAGATATAAAGCATTCAATTTGTATACATGAATATGTATGTGTATGTAGTAATGATACAATAAAAATTAAGAATTGTGAAAGCTAATAAGGACAACAATTAAAAAGTTGATAAAAGTAAGCAATTCATTAACTTGCAATGTGATTAATAATAGTTTGAAAGTGTTCTCCAAATTCGGAGTTCAGTGAACTACTAAATTATACAAGTATTCTGTAATTATTAAGAGAAGACTAACATTTAAAACTTAAACTTGCAGAAGCTGATCCCACATTATTTATGAAATATGAAGTACAATATGCTTTTTTTGCATTGGAATAAGAAGAGAGGATGACTGGAAACCCTCATCTTTCTGTTCGTTCCACAAATCCTACTAGGTTTTGTGCTTATTTTATTTTTTGCATAATGGGTTGTCTCCTGATAATGAAGAAGGGAATTCATGAAGCAAGATTTATTTCTTTTATTTGTTTGATGTTGAATATATAAGGACATCAAAATGTATGCCTTCCCAAAATTTCTTTGTATTATTAATCATTACAGTTGTATGTGCTATCAGCAATTCATGTCACTACTTCCTCCCTGAGTCTTACTAAATCTTTGGATTCAACCACATCCTGACAATAAGTTCCTCATTCTTTTTTTATAGAGAGCATGAAGAACAATAATGTTTTTCATTCCATGTATTATAATTGCACTTTGGAAAAGGGAAGGGAGAAAAAAAATGCATTAATTCAAAAAGGTGTAAGCAAAGTCACTTTTTTAAAAAAAAAATAATAATCATGGTACAAAAATGAAGGTACCAGTAAAGCAAAGCATGTGAAGAAATCTTTTGTATTAATAATAATTGTGGTTCAGAATTATGCAAGGATGATGTTTTTCTCTGAACTGGCAATTTTTTAAATGTAGACTAGACCCCTGTTGTCAACACAGTTTTAATGATGTAACAAATGTATAACATAACAGAACTGTGAATCACCTAAATATGAGCCAGCAGTGTGCTGCAGCTG